TTTTATTACTCCCATAGTTCTTAATACTTTTTTTTGAAAGAGAATGAAACCAAACATGACAAAATAAAGCAGTCAGTCAAAACAAAGGATGGACAAAGCACATGACGTAAAAACAGAATACAAGGTAATCAATAATGGTTACCAAAATGCGTATTGCTACCTTAAAAAGAATTGCCTATATCATTAGGTATAATAAAATTAAACAAAACAGTACAGAACAAGACCAATAAAACCTAAACACTTTGCATGTTATCAGATCATAGCGATATGAAATTAGAAATTAATGATAAAAGATACTGCAAAAATCCCGCAAACACGTGGAAATTGAATAACACACTCTTGAGTAATCAGTGGGTCACAGGAGAAATTAAAGAAGAAATTAAACAATACCTACAAGAAAATGAAAATACAAATACAACTTTCCGGAATCTGTGGGATGCAATGAAATCTGTCCTCAGAGAAAAAATTATTGCACTAAGCTCCCACATCAGGAATACAGAAAAATATAAATAAATAACCTAATGCTACACCTCAAACATCTAGAAAAAGAAGAGCAAGTCAAGCCCAAAGCCAAAAGAAGAGAGAAAATTATAAAAATCAGAGCAGAAATCAATGCAATAGAGACTAAGAAAACAATCCATAGAATCAAAGAATCAAAGAGTTAGTTCTTTGAAAGAATAAATAAAATTGATAAGCCTCTACCCAACCTTATTTTAAAAAGGGATGAAAAAGCTCAGATTCATGCAATAAGATATGAAAAAGGTGAAATCACTACAGACTCTATAGAAATACAGAAGATCATCAACACCTATTTCGAAAGTTACTCTCAAAAGTTTGATAACACAGAAGAAATAGACAGATTCCTAGAAACATATGAAGTACCAAAGCTAGGTCAAGAGTATGTAAAATTGCTGAATAACCCAACTTCTACTAATGAAAATGAAATTAAGTCCTACCTACAAAGAAGAGCCCAGGCCCAGACAGAGTCAACGCAAGTATTGTATCTTGTTGGATTTTATTATATGTGATAATATAAACAAAAACTTTTGTAGACAGGGAGATTATACAGAAACCATTGTTCATTTTCTGTTAGTTGATTCTAAATACCCTGTAATACTGTCATTCTCTCGAACGGTTTTACATTGTCTTGATATGTTTGATGCTACAGTATACGAAGTTATACCCAAAGATTTTAAGGGAAGAGACACTATGGTAACTACTATCATGTCGAGATTATCTTGTGGTGAAACACTATTTTGCTTAAATGGCTATGTTTTGACCTGTGCTGTTTTGTTGTTATGCCCTCTTTTTTTTAATCTCAATCTCCTTTTTATTATCTACTTTTTCATTTTTATCCTTTTAATTAAGGGAAAAATAAATAAAAAATAGCAGGATATATTATAGTGACCCACTTTGATTTCCTGTTAACTTGATTTGAAACTCTGTATTGCTCTCACCATCTTGTTTTGATTGATTTTCCTCTATTCTGTTATGCTTGATAGTACCAAGTTTGAAAGTATAGGCAACAACTATGAAGACAGTAAGATTCATTGTGATGCCCATTCTGGTTGACTATTATCTTCTTTTGAAGTCCTCTAATGTTTCCAATGTTTTGGTTTTATTGGTCTTATTCTTTACTGTTTTGTTCAATTTTATTATAACTGATGATATAGGTAATTCTTTTTAAGATAACAAGAGGCATTATGGTAACCATTGTTGATCACCTTGTATTTTGTTTTTACATCATGTATTATGTCCATCCTTTTGATTTGACTGACTCTGTCCTGGTATGTCACACTTGGTTTTACTTTCTTCAAAAAAAAAAAAAAGTAATAAGAACTGTGGGAGCAGTGAAACCCAATATGTGTAATTGTCATTGTACGGAAGAAGGGAGGGGAGAGTTCTCTGGGGGATATAACTGCATGTATGTTTGGGTGTGTAGGATGGATAACCATATTACTGAGTTTTGTTGGATTATTGAACAAAACTGTTTGCAGTCTCACTGTTTGAAGGTCCCCTCTATATGCTTTAATTTTGTAACTTCAACAACTATTTCTAAGATGACAATATGTAATTAACTAGTGATTTCCTACTGTTTATTTTTTCTGAAATTCTGTATAACTTGTACCCTTTTTCTTTTTTCTTTTTTCTCCTTAAATAAAATTAAAGAAAAAAGAAGAAATACAAAGACCTAATTCCAACACTCCTCAAACTCTTCAATGAAATTGAAAGGGAAGCAATCCTTCCTAAGTCATTCCTAAAAGCAAATATTCGTTTAGTACCAAAACCTGAGAAAGACCCAACTAAAAAAGAGAACTACAGACCAAGCTCCCTAATGAACACAGATGCAAAAATCCTCAATAAAATATTGGCCAATAAAACGCAACAAATAATCAAGAAGATTATACACCATGACCAAGTGGGGTTCATCCCAGGCATGCAGAGATGGTTCAACATACATAAATCAATAAATGTAATCCACCATATCAATAAATGCTGATAATAGGTTACCAACTTTTATTCATAAAATGAGAAAGTGTTAGAATCCTAATGCACAGTATGCTGAGTACAGCTAGTAACACTGTATTGTACACTTACTTTTCAAGATAGAATTCACAGAACTAATTGTCTACCCATGTTTTTTTCTTTAAATACCAGAGCAAACCCCAAACTGTGGACCAGAACAAATATGTAAAAATTAGAAGATAAGTTTGACCTAATTCTAAGTTTGAATGATCAAAATTCATTTCTATAAGATAATTTACCTTCTAAACATTTGCCTATTTCAAAGTTTCATTCAATATGATTTAAAATTAGTAAGCATGCCTAGACTTAGAAATATCATTTCAAGATAATTCATGATTATTCAATTTACTCTCCAACATTAATTATAAGTGAATGATTACTAAGTGTCCAGCATTGGCAGTGTACAGGAAACATAGCTATGATCACTGTTAGCTTAAATCCTTTTTCTTTCATAATTTACAGATGAAAGATGTAAATATGCAATGCTTTAATATGAATAGACAGTGAAGATCATGGAAGATTTATAAAAAAGAGACAAAGCTAGGGATAAGCCTGGGAAGTTTTACATTTTTTGTGTGTGCACACTAAGAATTGAATTGAGGGTTTCACATTGATCTACATCTCTAATCTTTTTTACTTTTTATTTTGATAAAGAGCATCTTGCTAAATTCCTGTTTTTCTCAGTTTTTGCCTCCAACGTGTGATCCTCTTGCCTCAGCCTTCTAGAGTGCTGGGACCACTAACATGCGATGCGAACCAACTAATATTGGTATTTTAAAAATATAAATGAATTAGTGGTAGGTAGGCATGATGGGTCACCCCCTCCCATATCAGGCCCAATACTTTTCACTTTGGGAGACTGAGACAGGAGGATTTTGAGTTGCAGTCTTACCCAGCCTACTGAGGGAAAACCCTAATCGAAACAAAACAAAATGAAACAAAACAAAACATAAACAAACAGGGTTGGGACTGTGGCTCTGCAGGTATGATCTTTAGTACCACAAAAAGGGAGATAAAGTAAGACCAGTACAAGAGGGTCACAAGTCTAAGACCCGCCTACTTAGTTTAGCTCAGTGACCAATGGAGGAGTGCCCTACTGAGTTTGGTCCCAGTAAACACACACACACACACACACACACACACACACACACACACACACACACACACACACACTGTTAATAAGTGAGACTTATCCAAGGTAATGTCATGCTGTATTTGAAACCTGAAGACTCAAGCTCAAGTATTTGCGGGAAGAGCTTTTTGTACAGGGCATAGTGGGTTGTGTTTGACAAGGTGCCTTGAGTGAGTGGAAGGAAAAGTGACTATGGGAGCAACTGGGATGCCCTGATGTCACCGAGACATGCAAGGACCAGATCAAGCGAGGCTTGGACTACCTGTTTAGAACTGGAATCCACTCTCAGTGTAACTAGAAGCATTGTAACTGGAAGCATGAGAGGATCTTACAAGTTGTATGATTTTTTTTCCAGAAAGATCAATTCGTTGCTGCAGGGATGAAGTCGGAGTGCCAGGCAAGAGGGTGATATAGACCATACACTTACCAGCTGAAAGTTTATAATCAAACCAAATTGAACCACATAATTGCCTTAACTAGATGCTCCTATTGTGTTCTAACTCTACTTAAACTACTGGTAGAGCATACTTTGGTGTGATCTGCCCATATCTCTCAATTCTATGTAAAAGCATTTAAAATTTTTATATTAGGGTGTTTGCCTAGAGCAGTGGTGTCCTTCCTCAGCACCCCTAAATAGACTGAATGCTCTGAACTAAAGCATAGACTAAGGTAGTCAAGCATACAGCACCAGAGTTACATACTTTAACTGAAAATTCCAGATTTGCTACTGAGCAGCTACTCTTGCAAGCAATTTGGTTTGCAAACAAAGGTGTTTAGCAAAATTTTGCTGCTGTTGGCAGACTCCAGACCAGGAGACAAATACAACCACAGTCATTTTCCCCACACAAACACAAACCCAAGCATCTTCCCCCAAAGAGTAAAACACATTAAATTCTTAAACCAAGTCACCACTGCAACTGTGAGCTTACTTGAATACTCCTAGCTTGTTTTATGAATGGACTTAATAGTACTCACTTACCTCTGAGGTTGCTTTAAGGATTAATAGAATGATCTGTGAAAGGACTTTAAGGAAGAATTTGATGCACAATAAATGTGCAGTAAACACTGATTTTATTTTTGACCACTGACACTTTTTTTTTACATATTAGTCTTTTCTTAGCTCTAGTTGTTTCTCTGATTTATATTTGCTTGTAGAAAGGTAGGTTGAAAGAATGAGTTACCTGGTATGAAGTAAAAGAATAATTTAAAAAGGATAATAACAAAAATATTAGCAATAATTTTTCAAAAATACCTTCTCCAACATTAAATTTGATAATATACAAATTTATTTCCTTCATTAAAATGCACACACACACACACACACACACACACACACACTTACCTGAGCAATAGTTTTGTTCCAAATACTTCATCAGTTGGGTGAGCTAGGAGAAAGAGAAAGAGAAAGGAAAAGGAAAAACACATTTGAAATTTGTTCTCTGAGCTCTGTAAAGTAATATGCAAATGATATGTAAATCACTGCCATTTAGGTACCAATTATAATTTGATGTGTCAAATGAAGTTCAGTACTTTTGGTGATGAATGTTTTCATTAGTAAAAAATAATTCACGTAAAAATAAAGAAATTTGAAAAAACATAAATATATTTTCTTTCTTCCTTTTGTACCTTACTATTATTTAAAAACTCCAGGTGCTTTTGAGGCACTATTTTGAGAAGTTCTTTTTTTCTCTCTCATGCAACATTTTCTTAAGATGTAATATTCTGTCAAAATTTCTATGAAGGCTTGTATTTTGAGTTACAGAAACTTTTTTTAGGTTTATTGTCTTCAGAATTATAGCCATAAAAATAGCCTAAAAACATTTTTTTAAATGATAGGAACAGGTTAAATTTGTTATAACCTCTTACCATTTATGATTGTTTATTTATTAAGTCATACAAAGACGAAATAACATACTGACTTATACTTTTCAACAGATTAAAAATCTTTCATGGCATTTACTTTAGTAAATCCTTTTGTATTTCAAGCCCTTGCTATAGAAATATAATTTAGAATGAATCTAACTTCGAGTAAATTTGAATCCAAGTCAAACAGGATGATCTATGGTGGAAGTGAATGTTCTAAAATGAACATTTAATTTTTTTCATTCAAAAATATTTTTAAAACTTTGATTAACATATTGCATAAAATAGCACAAACTATAATGCAAAAGTATAATAAAATAAACTGAAAGACTCATTAAATTGAAAGACTCAATGAGGAAGTCATTTGTTACAAATTTCCTTCTGTCATTTCTATCTTTTCACTGCATGGTTATGGTAGGTTAGACTGGCTAATTAAATTTTTATGAATATTTCAGCACAACTATTTGATTTCTCTCTTTTCAAGTTATTTTCCTTTCATGATTAAGAATTGTTCTTTGGCTGGGCTTAGTGGTACACATCTGTAATCCCCACACTTGAGAAGCTGTGGCAGGAGGATCACTGTGAATTCCAGCCCAGCCTAGGTTACACAGTGAGTTCAAGGCCACCCAGCATTACATAGTGACATTTCATCTAAAAAAATCATCTTTTAAAAACAATTTTATTAGAGTTCAAGTGATTAATTGCTTTTTAATGAGAAGCTACTTTCTCTTAGGAGTTTTACATGCACAATTTATGTCTTTATCCAGCCCTTATTTGGGTAAAAAGAAAATTTGTCTCATTTTATAGTTAGTATAACAGAACTGGAGATTAAAACTTTGCAATCCTGGACATTAACATATTTATGTGTAGTTAGATATTTAAGTCTGTGGTGAAATTGAAAGAGTATTGAACAGAAGAAGTTGCACTCTAATCTTAGCTCTGAGTATATATCTGTAATCATATTAGCAATCCCCTTCCCTTCAGGTCTAGTTGTCACATACGAAAATCAGGTGTGGATCAGATGATACCTGAACCCTATCTTTTGTTAGTTTTTGTATCTAGGAGCTATACTGCATGAATTCAAGAAGAAAATAAAAACCTTGTTCCTATCTTGTTGTTAGTTTTTGTACCTAGGAGCTATACTGCACGAATTCAAGAAGAAAATAAAAATCTTGTCTTTTTTCTTGAGAACTCAGTGGTCATGGTTTTCACATGTGTGTACAAGATTTCAAGTTAGCAGGCAACTGGTGGAACACTAAACACCATGTTTTAACTATCAAGCTGAAATGATGAGATTTTCCTGGAATAAAGTCTACATAAATAAATTTCCAAAACACTCTATGGGATTCTAATCTGCTGTCTATAAATTATTATACAGACCCAACTCTTTAACAGTCCAAGTTATTTTTACAAGTCGAGTTGACATTCAAAAGTATGTCATACCTTCATGCTAGTCAGCTCAGTGGACAGTTGCATGCACAAGATCACTTTAAACTTTTTTTGTTCACTATTAATACATCAAAACCCTTGCAAATGAAATGGAACACTTGACATTGCAAACCAATTTAGAAATCTTTGAATATAATGAAGATATAAAAGTTAAATGGGCTTCTCATAAAAGCATTTCCAAGGTTGATATGTTCTTCTGGCATTTAGAGACCTATCCTATAAAATGACAAACAAAACTGATTAGGCATGAAGGACTGTTATGAGTCGAGCTCCAGCCCAAAGTGTTCTAGCTAATTGAAGAACAAGAAGAGAGCAACTTCTCTGCTGTTTCTAAAATTACATCTGTATTGTCTGCACACTTATGCAGGATCTGTGACTTGTGTCTGGTGCAATCATTTCAAAGTCACCCGAGGGGAACAGGACACAGTGAGTACTATTCCAGGTACTTTTCTGGCCTCTTAAATGTAGGACAGAATGACAATAAGGTGAAACAAATATAGAACAGCCTAATTACCGGCCTCTTTTCCAAGAGAATTTCCAGTTCATGTTGTTCTAGATGACAAAATTACTACACTCTCAAAAAAAAAAGTTTGCCTTAAATTTGAGTATTAGAATGGCTCTAGGCAAAGGATATTTGAAAATTACTTAAATTGACAATATTTATAAGGATAGCATGATGTGTTCAAAGTTAAGCACTATGTTCAATAAGCAGAGAAATGACTCACTTTTGTCTTGCTTTGATGAAGCCTTGGATACTTAGGAGTGACTGCTCAAGACCTGCACAGACGTGATAAATTATGTGGTATGTCTCTGCCCTTTCTCTCAGCCCGGGTCCTAACACTTGTAGGTCACTGGATGCTCTCTGAATCATTGTTTGGATGGAAACTATATATCCAAATTTGGACTCAGCCAGCCACTCTGCTACTCATTCTCCAAGTTTCTTATTTAGGTCTTTACAGACAAAATGAATTTTCAACAAATAGGGGCTCAATACAAATGTCTCATAAAATCTATTTGTCTTCACTGTGAGGTAAGGAAACTCTAAGTCTAAATAAAACCATTGTTTACATAAAATGCTGAAAAATATTGTAAAAGACAGTATTAACAGTAACCTGCAGTTAAGATATAAATGGTCTAAAGCATTAATTTAGGTTGGGGGAGAAGAAGGAGAAAAGTTAAATTGAGCTAAAATTTGTTTTGCATGTCAAATGCTTTATATCCGTGGTGGCATTAAATATAGTCATTGAAAGTTTGAAAAGATATGAAAATTGAAAATCATCAGGGGCACAAAAGTTAGAAAATACCAAATTCTAAGCAATACATGAGAGAAAACAATAAGCATCACAAATCTCTCATATCCCAACAAGATTTATTATATAATTCGTTGAAAAAATGATAGAAATTTGATCAACAGTAAGTACTACAAATATATAAGGTTTGATCATTCTATTTAAAAGGTAGACCCGAAGAACAGGGCAAAATAAAGCTAATAGATAAAAAATAACAAAGGCAATTTTAAAAATTAAAGAACCCTTAAATTTTTAAACCTCAAAAATGAGTTGAGGTACCACATGCTTAACAAATACTAAAATTTTCTAATACAAAAGAGATATATATCAAATAGAGAGAATATTTTTAGTATGTACTTGGGAAATATTATTTCAAAATATATTACTCTTTCAATTATTTTTAAAATATATTATTTAGAGATTCTAAACTTTGTCTAGAGTTTCTTTTATGTGTGAGAGAATAATTTTTACATCAAATGATCTCGGGAAATATTTTTTCAGAATACATTACTTTTTCAATTATTTTAAAAATATATTATTTAGTGATTTTGAATGTGTATGAGACTTTGTCTAGAGTCTCTTGTATGTGTGACTGAATAATTTTGACATCAAATTCTTTATAAAGAGATAAGTTTTCATCTATATTTCATATTCTAGAAGAGTTTACATAACAAGGGAAATATTTGGTTCTGTCAATCAAAGCATCTTTGAACACATTTTCCTGCTAATTCTACAGTATTGAATTCTCAATTTTACAATTCTTTCTTGTATAAAAATTATCCTCATATATAATAATTAATACAGGTTATTTAATTCTATCTATCATAAATATATATATATACATATATATATATACATATATACATACATATATGAAACATATATATATATGTTTCATTCTTTTTTTTGAGACAGGGCTTCTTCATATAGTTCATAAGGAACATGAACTCATTCTGTAGCCCAAGCTGGCCTCAACACTCACAGTGGCCCTCCTGCCTCAGCCTCCTAAGTACTAGGATTATAGGGATGCACCAGTACACCTATGTTAGAGTAAAACTTTGGGCTGATGCTTTATTTCCCATCTATTTAAATAGATCCCCAAATGTTTCCCAACTATTTTAAAAAGCAAATAGTAAATACCTCATATTAGAGATATGAAAAGATAGTCATTTATGCATCATCATTCTGAGTTTTACCTGCCAATTTTGGGATTTTTAATTTTGCATCAGTAATATATGAAATCTTTGCTTAGGAGGCATTTGATCCATGAAACTGAATTTATGCCTTTTGAATGTAAAATGTATCTTTTATTGCTATTTCTCTTATGGATCACTTAATGAATGCAATTTTTAGTTCTGTACTTTGGTTACATATAAGTATTGAAATCTGCAAGTGTTTCAAAATTGCTATCATGTGAACCTCTTCATTTTGTTTTTAATTTTTCTTTTTTTGCATTTGTTTCTCTTTAAAATTTTTATTTTTGTTGGTATGTGCTTGCAGTGTGTAATGACTACGAGTCGCATAACACATCTTGATTCTGATTTCACATTTATATTCTGATACTGTAGCATGGCATTTCTTACATATTAGGTAATTAATATTTTTTACTTTGAACTCTAAGTTGATGAAGCATAGAATCCAGGTCTGATTTTGAATTTGCTGAATACTTCTGAATATACTTCATAATTAATAATGCATAAAACTTATAACTTTAGACACTCATACATCATGATTTTACAGAAGGGAAAGATGAGTTGAGATGCCATATTAATCCTTGATCTTGAAGGCCTCCTGTATGACTCTCAATATTTGTGGTGTTATTACCTTAAATTTTTATGCTTTTGACTACTGTTAGTGTTACTGTTTACTTAAGTCTTCTCATTTATTGAAGTGTTACTACTATGGGCAATCCCCTAAGAGGAAGTCAGGAAGTCAGTATCATGAACTATTTGTGAGAGTTTCAGATTCAGCACAGCGTGGCTTCAAATGTATGGCTGTTATACTAAGATGACGAAAAATTAAAATAATTGATTAAAAGGTAATTTGCAAAAATAGTTATTTAAAAGGATAGTTATTAGCAGTATTGTCATTCTGTACTGAGCTCGTTACCCTAGTAACCAAGAACTAACCACATAGTTCTAGATTAACTGACCGCGTTGTTCTGCTGTTCTACACGCATCACCCCCCCCCAAGTAACCTGTGTGCTATGTCAACCTTTGTTCCCCTTATAAGAGACAAATGATGCTGTGTCAACCATTGTTCTCTTTATGAGAGACAAATGTTCCTGGAGTTGGCAGACCAAGGGCTATGAGTTGGCTAACCACCCATTGTGAAATGTCTCTGACCTCAAGCAAAAGGGAACAAAGGCCCACCTTGTTTCTGTTTCTCATCACTATGTACTTAATGATCAATGAGCTAATCATAAATGAACTATAAAAATCAGTCAAAATTCTAACTCAGTTGCACAGCTTTGCAAGTTCCATCTGCACTGTGTCTCGCTGGGTCAGCTGAAAAAAGTGCTTCTTTTAAAAAGACGTCTTGCCCCATTTATCATGTCGGGGGTCTTGCCCCATTTTTCATCAGGGGGCCTTGTTTTTTGGGTGAGTTACAACAATGGGTAAGGAGGCTGTCTCATCTGCTCGTACTTGGGAGCCGCTCATGTATCTTTGCTCCATGCCATGTTCTGTAAGGCCCTTTAATTTTTTGGGAGAGCAAACAATTATTTTGTTCTTCCTTTCAGAACACTTGGCAAATGATTTTTATAACAGCAGCTTTGTAGTATAATTTCAGGTCTGGGATTGTGATGCCCCCTGAGTTGCTTTTGTTGCCCAAAATTGTTTTTGCTATTCTAGGTCTTTCCTGGTTCCAGATGAATTTTAACAGTGTTTTCTCTAGATTGGAGCAGTATGCAAATGATATTTTGATTGGGATTGCATTGAATCTGGAGAGCAGTTTTGGGAACATGGTCACTTTCACTATGCTAGTTCCACCTATCCAAGCACAAGGGATGTCTTTCCATTTTCAGATATCCTTTCCAATCTCCTGTCTTAGGGTATTGTAATTTTCACTGTACAGATCTTTTACATCCTTTGTTAGATTGACTTCTACCTATTTCATTTTTTTTTGATCTTTATGAGTTTGTTCCCTTCAAAGGCATTTATAGCCATAGTAGAGAGAAAAATCACAAGATGGTGATAGAATCTCAGCCAGGCACAGAAAGAAATATCAATGCTAACAGCTAGTTGCAGGTGAGGCAAGGATAACATTAGTCACAGAAACAGAACACCCAGGTTTCAGAATTTAGCTATATACTTGATGAACATATGTAGATTATTTTGCTTTTTTCAGTTTTAGGTATGTGTATATAAATATATGAATAACCAATGATTTTAAAGCAACTGCATTATTTCTTTAATAGGTCACTACTTGATTCCAAGTAAGTTTACAAAACTTACTGTGAAATCTTAACATTAATGTCCAGAGAAAAGAACAATTTATGTTGCTATTTTTGTTGGTTTAATATTCAAAACCTTGGCATTTGGATACCACATGCAATGGTCTGAATGCTTGTTTCCTTCCAAATTCATATGTGAAAGTCTAATCCCTAATGTGATATTATGTGTGATCTGCCTTTGGGAAGTGATTAGCTCATAAGGGTAGTAACACAGTAAATGAGGTTAGTGCCCGTAGAAAGGACAACCCAGAGGGGTAGCTGGTCCTTTCTGCCATGTGAAGATTCTGCAAGATGCACTGTCTATGAGCAACAAGGCCCCTTCAAAGAACAAATATTCTGGTCATTTGATCATGGGCTTCTTAGTCCTCAAAATTCCTAGAGATGCGTATTTGTTGTTTTTAAGCTACTCAACTGATGCTGGTTTTTACTAGAGTAACCTGAGTGCACTAAGACATTATTATTAAAAATAATTTATGTTATAATAATAGAGAATCTGTCAAACTAAGATGCTAGATTGAGACCTAGACAACACTTCAGAAGTCATTAAAATAGGGCTGAACTCGCCCATTTTTCTGGTCTATGAAGAAAATGCAAGTGTAGAACAAAGATGATGACATTCAAGAACATTTCTCACATTACAGTTTTTAATGGTTATCTCCTCCAATACTCAACACACAGCACACATTGGATGTTCACAAACTGAATATTCCCTTTTCTAGTGATGATAGGGTGTTATGCAGAGTTAAAGCTGTAGAGATACCAAAGAACTACAAAGTACAAGTACACTACGTGAATTTGTGAAATCTTTTAATTTGTGCTACGTATTTTTATCATCCATAAAATCAAAAAAATTGAATGTTTGTTAGTTGATCTCCAAAGAAGGATAACAGACTTTATGGAAAGTATTGTACTCTAAGTGAATTGGAGGTGGGTTGTGAGTGATGAGGGGTGATAAAACCAAGAGGATGAAAGCAGGTAATAGTCTCCCTGGGGGACAGAATAGAAGCTGGGTATTGGAGTGGTTATGAACAGGGTGTTTTTAGTACAGCGAAAATGCCTTAATGTGATTAATGATCTGGCTCCTTAGTTTGCCAACAGTGAACAGT